ATGCATGCATGCATTCGTGCATGTATGTATGTATGTATGTATGTATGTATGTATGTATGTATGTAGGTATGTATGCATGCATGTATGTATGTATGTATGTATGTATGTATGTATGCGTGCATGCATGTATGCGTGTAGGTATGTATGTATGCATGTCAGGGATGTAGGTATGTCATGCATGAAAACATGCATGCATGCACGAATGTATGCGTGCATGTATGTAGGCATGTATGAACGCATGCGTGGTAATGATCCGTGGTAATGCAATGCAAAGTGCTGCAATGGAACCGAATGGAATGGAATGAAACGGGACGGCATGGCACGGAATGGAATGGAGTGGAGTGTAAAGTCACGTAAAGTAACACAACGTTGCTCAATGCAAGGTAGTGCAGTATGATAAAACATTGTTAAAGTAAAAGGTGATGTGATGTCACCACGTGTGATGCAATGTGACGTTATGCAGCGCAATGTGAGGTGATGTGACGTTGCGCCATGCAGCACAATGCCGTGCAGTGCAGTGCAATGAAATACAATGCAATGTAATATCATGTAATGGAACGGCTCGAAATAGGAACATAATGGAATGGCATAGAAAGACATATGAAGCAGCGCAACGTAGCGTAACGTAATGTGATGCAAGGTAGGGTAAGGCAAGGCACGGTAAGGTAATGCAATGTATTGCATGTCTTCATGTAATTAAGCAAGATAGTTCGTGTGTACAGTATGTGTGGATGCATGCTCTTAGATATGAATGCACGACGCACCTATGGATGTACGTGTGTGCGTGTGGATGGCTATCTGAATATTGCGCGCGCGCGTATCTACGACACTGACACTGTGTGTATGTGTACATACGACAACTGCGTAGGGGCATACATACATACATACATACATACATACATACATACATACATACATACACACATACATACACATCCATCCATCCATCCATCCATCCATCCATCCATCCATCCAGACAGACAGACAGACAGACAGACAGACAGACAGACAGGCGTACATGCATACCTGTACGTACAGACTGACTGCATACTTTCATACATGCATGCATATATAGCATCCTATAGTCTACTAGTAGCAACCCAGCGGCGCTCCCGCAAGAAGGTTAGCGGGAAAGCAGCAGTGCCGTTGTTGGTGCTGCAGCTACGAAGGACATCGGTTGCAACAAGTTCCGACATCATGTCGCTACAGACCACAGATGCAGATATAGAGACTCCAAGATCGTGAGAACACAAAAAAATGACTTCATTGAGTATTTATCTCTTGCGGCGTCCCCGACCCGGAAGACTCAGACTGCAGCGCTATGGCACGGCCTGATGAGGTGGGATGGAAGCGCCGGTTCCAGTCCCGAGCCACGACGACCTGGAACTCCACCCGCTTCATGTCCAAGCCAACCTTCACCTTTGTCCGGAAAGAGTCGCCAAAAGGCAGAAACTCTGCAAAGCCTGCACAGGGCAAAGGAAGCCTAAATCCTACAGTAAACCCTAAACCCTGCGGATTTCCCTTTGTGGTCGGAGCGGACCTTTCCAGTTGTCCCAGGAGCCGACGAGGAAGAACGGGCCTCTATTTGAGGTTCGGGTGCGCGGTTCGGAGCGTGCTTTGGCTCCCTTCTTTGCCGCGACTTTCTTCTCCCCGGCGGGTATCTCCTGCTCTGTGGCATTCAGAAACTTCCAGGTGACCTTTCGCCCAAGCACGTCCCACAGGATCTCCAGCTGCATGCAGTCGGCAGGCAGTGGGGTGACCCGAAAGTTCCGTCCATGGGCATTCCCGGGCCCCTCCACGCCCTCGCCACGCGCTGTGGGATAGTATCGGGCTGCCCAATCCTGGCCCTGCAAGATCTGGAACTCCTGGCCGCGTGATGAAATAAATGACGGCACGAGAACTCCTAGCGTTGCTCTCGCCGTGGCAAGGAAAAAAAGGACCTCGAGCCTCCTTTTTGAATCAGGGCGTGCGGATTCTTGTTTCGCCAGTGAAGCTCTTTCCGAAACAATAGAACTAACTACGCTGCTATGGCCGGTGCTCCAAGTTTATCTTACTGCCACATCGTGTGTGTGTGTGTGTGTTATACCTCATATCTCCTTTGAAACATCAACGCTTTTCTGCTCAAACCGCTGAGCGAAAATTATCTTCTACAATACATCCCTAAACCCTATAAACCCTAAACCCTAAACACTAAAACCTATAATTTTCCCTAGACCCTAAACCCTAAACCCTAAACACTAAATCCTATAATCCCTAGACCCTAAACCCT